ATGGTGGCGGTGGTGGTGATGGTGGTGGCGGTGGTGTGGTGGTTTGTGCTGGTGGCGGTGGGTTGCGCTGCTGGTAGTGGTTGTGGTTGTGGTGGTGGTGGTGGTGGTGGTGGTGGTGGTGTGATAGATTGTGTTGGTGGTGGCAGTGGTGGTGGGTTTTGTACTGGTGGCTTGTGGTTGTGATGGTGAGTTGTGGTGGTGGTAGTGGTTGTGGTGGTGGTGGTGGTGGTGGTGGCTGTGGTGGTGGTGGTGGCGGTTGTGTGGCGGTTGGTGGTGGAGGTGGTGGTGGGTTGAGGCAGTGGTGGTGGTGGTAGCGGTGGTGGTGGTGGTGGTGGTGGTAATCGTCGCTGCGTCCCCGCCATCGCCGGCGCCAGCGCTGGCGCTGCTGGCCGCCGCCAGCGCCGGCGCTGGCGCCGCGGGGGGGGGGGGGGTTCAAGCCCCGCCCCCCCCCCCCGGCGCCCTAGGGAGGGGGGGAGAGGGGGCGCCCCCCCTCCCTTGGGCTGCCTCTGGTCATCGTCGCTGCGTCCCCGCCGTCGGCGCTGCTGGCGGCCGCCAGCGCCTACGCCGGCGCCGAGGGGGAGGGGTGGAACCCCCCCCGCCCTTGGGAGAGGGGGGGGGTTCGGGAGGAAGGGGGTTTGGGGGGGAGGGGAGTCCCAGTGGTTTTCATCGACGGCGCCGAGTGTTAGTGGGGGGGAGGGAGCCCACCCCCCGGTTCGAAACGAGCCGCCGAATGTTCCCATGGCAAGCGACCGTGAAACGCGTTCTCTCAAATCAGAGGCAGCAGCGTGGAGTGGGGATTCCCCGCTGCAATGTCCCGGCGGGAAACCGCGGGTCACGCCCGGAGGCCGCGAGGAGGACATCCTCTTCCACGCCCATCTCCTCTTTGACGTCCACTACCTCATCCTTCCCCGTCCTCCGCAACAAGCACCTGCTCGTGCACGTTCTCGAGCAGCACCAACCTGGCATCCCCCTTCCACTGGTCCTCCTCCTCCTGGCCATCCTGGTCTTCCTGCACCTCCTCGTCCTGCTGCTCCTCCTCCTCCTCCTCCCTTACCTCCTCCTCGTCCTCCCCCCCTCCTCCTCCACCTGCTCCTGCACCAGATCATGAATAAGACGCGGCAGGCTGCATGAATAAGACGGCGCCGGTGCACCTACATCCGCGGGCAGCTTGCGCGCGGGTGAACGCGCAATCGATCCCCGCGGCGTCGCCCCCCCAACTTCAAACTAGGCGGTGCAACGGGCCGCTTCTGTCAAAACCTCGTCTCCCCCCTCGGGGGCGGTTAACCCGCCCATCCCGCTAGCAGGCCGTGGGGGCCTTGGATAAGGAATCCAGTGTCTGGAGCCTTGTGGAGATCCAGTTGCGTGGAACGGGGGGGGGGCAGAAGTTGCCCACCCCCAGTTGCGGTTGCGGTTGCGCGCCCGCGGGCGGATTGAAACGTGTCGCCCAGGTGCGGTTGCGGTTGCGCGTCCGCGGGCGGACTGAAATGTGTCGCCAAGTTGCGGTTGCGGTTGCGCGCCCGCGGGCGGGTTGGAATGTGTCGCCAAGTTGCGGTTGCGTTTGCGCGCCTGCGGGCAGGTCGAAATGTGTCGCCCAGTTGCGGTTGCGGTTGCGCGCCCGCGGGCGGATTGAAATGTGTCGCTCAGTTGCGTTTGCGCGCCCGCGGGCGGGTCGAAGTGTGCCGCGTAGTTGCGGTTGCGGTTGCGCGCCCGCGGGTGGGTTGGAATATGTCGCCCACTTGCAGTTGCGTGCCCGCGGGCGGGTTGACATGTGTCGCCCAGGTGCGGTTGCGGTTGCGGTTGCGCGTCCGCGGGCGGATTGAAATGTGTCGCCCAGTTGCGGTTGCGCGCCCGCGGGCAGGTGTACATGTGTCGCCCAGTTGCGGTTGCGCGCCCGCGGGCGGACTGAAATGTGTCGCCCAGTTGCGGTTGCGTGCCCGCGGGCGGATTGAAACGTGTCGCCCAGGTGCGGTTGCGGTTGCGCGTCCGCGGGCGGACTGAAATGTGTCGCCAAGTTGCGGTTGCGTGCCCGCGGGCAGGTTGAAATGTGTCGCCCAGTTGCGATTGCGGTTGCGCGCCCGCGGGCGGACTGAAATGTGTCGCCCAGTTGCGATTGCGGTTGCGCGCCCGCGGGCGGGTTGAAATGTGTCGCCCAGGTGCGGTTGCGGTTGCGCGCCCGCGGGCGGGTCGAAATGTGTCGCCCAGTTGCAGTTGCGGTTGCGCGCCCGCGGACGGGTCGAAATGTGTCGTCCACTTGCGGTTGCGCGCCCGCGGGCGGTTTGAAATGTGTTGTGCAAAGTGCCCTCCTGACGTTCAGTCAGTCAATCAGTCAGTCAATCAGTCAATCAATCAGTCGGTCAGTCAGTCACCGGCGGGCGCGGAATTTCACCCGGCTCCGCCGGGAATAACCAGATCGTCGGAGATCTGGGGTTGAGGCCCGCGTGGACAACCTGGCGGAGTTGTCAGTGCGCAGTCGCCACCAGCTCCCAGACTCCCGACAGCGTGATCAATTCCATCCTGTGGGACCCAAGAGGTATGGACCCCTTCCTGGACTCGCTTTTCGGCCTGAGTGTTTTTCCCAACCATCCTGTGGTGTTGGGTCCTCGTTTTGAAGAGACGGTGGCCCGCGTCTCCTCTCCTCCTCTCCTCCTCCCCCTCCTCCTTGCGTTTCACCCACCCAACACAGCGTTTCGTAGCCCCATAGGGAACTCCACCGAAGGCCCCAGTGGCAGGGTTCGCATGGCGGCCTCGGGCCATTTCGGCACACCCCTCACGAGGATCGTGGCCCCATAGGGAGCTCCACCGAAGGCTCCAGTGGCAGGGTTCGCATGGCGGCCTCGGGCCATTTCGGCACACCCCTCACGAGGATCGTGGCCCCATAGGGAGCTCCACCGAAGGCGCCAGTGGCAGGGTTCGCATGGCGGCCTCGGGCCATTTCGGCACACCCCTCACGAGGATCGTGGCCCCATAGGGAGCTCCACCGAAGGCGCCAGTGGCAGGGTTCGCATGGCGGCCTCGGGCCATTTCGGCACACCCCTCACGAGGATCGTGGCCCCATAGGGAGCTCCACCGAAGGCGCCAGTGGCAGGGTTCGCATGGCGGCCTCGGGCCATTTCGGCACACCCCTCACGAGGATCGTGGCCCCATAGGGAGCTCCACCGAAGGCCCAGTGGCAGGGTTCGCATGGCGGCCTCGGGCCATTTCGGCACACCCCTCACGACGATCGTAGACCCATAGGGAGCTCCACCGAAGGCGCCAGTGGCAGGGTTCGCATGGCGGCCTCGGGCCATTTCGGCACACCCCTCACGAGGATCGTGGCCCCATAGGGAGCTCCACCGAAGGCGCCAGTGGCAGGGTTCGCATGGCGGCCTCGGGCCATTTCGGCACACCCCTCACGAGGATCGTGGCCCCATAGGGAGCTCCACCGAAGGCGCCAGTGGCAGGGTTCGCATGGCGGCCTCGGGCCATTTCGGCACACCCCTCACCGAGCCCAGTGGCCGCATGGCCCCACGTGGAACTCCACCGAAGGCGCCGGTGTCAGGGTTCGCATGGCGGCCCCGGGCCATTTCGGCACACCCCTCACGAGGATCGTGGCCCCATAGTTGTGCTGCTTCAACAACCGCGCCTGGGCGTCGTACTCCGCCTTGTCGACGTGCAACGCCACCTCCTCCCTCATGGCTCTCAAGGCCCTTTCCTGCTTCTGCTCCTCGGTGAGAGGGACGCCGTCCTTGTCGTCGTCGGCGCCCGCGAAGACGGCCACGAACGTGTCCCTGAGCATGTCGGGCTCCGGCGGGAAGCCGTGGCCACATAGGGAGCGCGGGCGAAGATGGTACTCACAATTGCGGTATTCACAACTGCATATAGTTGGGTCCTTCGCCACGATGATTTATAATGTCCCGAGGCCCAGTGAGCCCCCTGAGGCAGAAAATTGCCGAAAACCTTCTGTCGCTATTGTTTGAGGGGGTCTGGGCAGGGTCGGGGCGGATCCAGCGGCGGCGACACGGCGACGAGATGCATCCAGGAGGCCAGCACTTGCCGAAAACCTTCTGTCGTGTTTGTTCTGTGAAATGAATGCTAAAGAGAACGGTCAATGGTGTGGCCATGATGCCTCTCGTGCCCACCCCGTCCCGTCTTCAGGGTCTTCACATCCCCCTATGATGGTAGGATGGAAAGACGGGCGGCCACCCCCGGCATTGCACGTACGCTCCCCGACCACGTGCCTGGTTGACTGCCGCGGCACAGGCAGGCCACGGCCGCCAGGGCAGGTGCCCGGGGATGCCTTCCCCGCGGAAGGGAGGGGCAATGGCATGGGGAACAGGCTCCAGGGGTTGCGCGCCTCGTTTTCCTCTTCCTCCTCCTTCTCCTCCTCCTCCTCCTCCTCCTCCTCTTCCTCTTCCTCCTCCTCCCTTCCCTTTCCTCCTCCTCCTCCTCCTCCTCCTCCTCCTCCTCCTCCCCCTCCCCCCTCCTCCTCCTCTCCTCCTCCTTCTCCTCCTCCTTCTCCTCCTCCTCCTCCTCCTACTCCTCCTCCTCCTCCTCTCCTCCTCCTCCTCCCCTCCTCTCCTCCTCCTTCTCCTCCTCCTCCTCCTCCTCCTCCTCCTACTCCTACTCTTCCTCCTCCTCCTCCTCCTTTTCTTCCTCCTCCTACTCCTGATCTCTTGCTCCATTCCCTTCCCGCCTTTCTGTCTCATCAACCTCGTCCTCCCCCCCTCCTCGACCTCATCCTCCCTGCTCGTCCGCCCTCCTGCTCACCTCAGGGGCAACATCAGGGGGGGATAGTCTCAGGAGGGATGCATCAACCCCCCATCGCCCATTCATCGCCGATACGGGCTCGATAGCCTTCCCCCCCCCCAGCGTACGGTTTCGCTATCGGGGCCTATGGTCGTCCTATCGCCGATCTATCGGCGACGTCTCGCCGGTTCCAGGTCGATGTCCCCCCCCTCCCCTGAGACAGCCCTCCCTATCGATCCCCCCCAGGGGCAAGGGTGGGCTGGCCCGCTCCCAAGGCCATGAGTCCGTCCACGACCACGACCGTGCTGCCGGTGCCCCGCGCCCCCCCCTCCACACCGCAGGCACCCGACGCGTCGTTGCGGAGACCTCCAGCGTGTTGAACAAAATCAAGACATAGACCACCTTCCGTCGTGGGAGAATCACAATGGACGTTGTTGTTGGTGTTGTTGCTATTTTCGCCTCGGTGGGCCCTCGCCAGGCCTAGGACCGTCAGCAAAACGATTCAGGATGAAACACCGGTCCCAGGGAAGGGTCGCGACCTCCGCGGGTCGACGTTGTGACAAAAACCATGACGTCGGGGGTCTGGTGGCGGAAGCTTTTCGCAGTTTTCAGCGTCTGGGGGCCCTCCCCGGGCCCAGACGAACGTCACACAGCCTAGCTGCCTTGACACGCCCGTGTTGAAACGCAACACGTACCGTGTTCAAAACATCTCTGTTGGCACGCTGCGTGTTGGCTCACCGTGTTCGCCCACGTTTTTGCGAACGTATCGCGCCAGACCTGCGTAGTCAGTCAACGTGTTGAGCTCCGTGTCAAGAAGTCCCGGGTTGCGTGTTGCGTATCGGGGCAGGTGGGGCACGCAGCGATCCAGGGCGAAGGGCTGGTCCCGGGGAAGTGGCCCAGACCTCTGGGGGTCTTTGCGAGCAGACTGTGCCGTCGGAGGTCTGGGTTGTCTTTCGCGGCGTGATTCCGAGCTGTCCTTTGGCCCGGGCCCCAGGGCCCGGGGAGGACCCCTTCGGGGGCCGAAGCTTGCCAAAGGCCTCCCGCCGTGACTTTTCCACAGCGCGAGGGGGTCTGGGGCCCAGACGCGAGGAAATCGCAACGAAAGCTTTTCCAAGCTTTTGGCTTTGCCATGGTGGCTGTCGCGGGCTCCCATGCACCGGCAACACACGACTCAGGACAAAACGCCGGTTCCAGGCGGAAAGATCTGGGCCTCCAGGGGTCCACCTTGCGAGCAGATCACGGCACGACGCGGCTTCAACAAGTGGCCAGGATGGGCCCTGGGAGGGGCCCCAGAGGGTCCCTCCCAGACCTCTGGCATTCAGCATTTTTGGGGGACGCGGTTCTAAGACTCGCGTTTGCCGAACCTCGGTTTTGCCGCCGCTTTTTGGCGGTCTCGGCGTGATCTATGACGGTCCAATTGTCGTGAAATGTTTGCAGCGGGTCTTCGCGTCGAATGTCAGATTGGCTCCCGTCATTGCTCTGACGGCCCCGTCAGGCAAACTCGTGCAGACTTAGGGGACGGGGAGCGCATACCAAAAAATAAGTGAATTCCCCAGGGTTGGTTGGGGAGTTCCCCCCTCCAAGGAAAACCATGACCAAGCCTAGATCTCCCTCTCCTCCTTGGCCTTGTTCGGGCATCCCTAGTGGCCTTCGGCCCATCCCGCCACCGTGCTTGGGTTGTGGGTCATATGCCTCTAAAGTGTTTGTTGGGATGTCGCGGGTACTCGTGGGGCCTCTTGGGGGCCTCTTGGGGCCTCCTTAGGGTCTCCTAGGAGCCTTTTGGGGCGGAAGGCTCGGATGTTTGGTTCGTGTTCCCTCTCTTGGGCCCTTCTTGGGGTTGTCTTTCGGCTCTATTGAACCGTTTTCGGCGCTTCTGGGGCAGTCTTGGAGCCCTCTTGGGCCCTCCTGGGGACCTCTTGGGCCGTCTTTGGGCGGTCCTGGGGGCCTCTTGGGCCGTCTTGGAGCGTCGGGAGCTCGAAAAGTCGAGGACACCCACATCATTGAACAAATTATAGGACATCCATGATTTGGGCTTCTCGGGCTTGGGAAGGCTCTTGGGACTCTCTTGGGGCGTCTTGGGGGCCTCTTGGGCCATCTCTGGACCATCTTGGGCTTCTCGGTGCGATCGTTCGGCGACTCGGGGCCCTCTTGGCCCGTCTTGGGCCCCTCTTGGGCACGAAAAGTCACGCGAGAAGGCGCGAGAAGCCCTAGGTACCACGCACAAAGCCTAAGAAGATCTGAGAATTTGGGCTCCAGGCCCCTCGAAGACTCCTCAGGAAGGCCTCGGGGATTGTGCAAAGGGCCTGAGGGCTCGCCCACTCCGTGCCCAGCGGCACGGTGGCGAACAGACCCCAACCTTCAGCCTGAGCCTCGATTTCTGGTGTATTGACCTTTTCAGACAGAGCGAGTTCACTCGTGTCCAGATGTTAGGTTGTTGTGCGATGCTTCCGTCTTCCCCCCTCACGCTCAATTCAGCGTAGTCATACTCATGCCCACTCATACTCAACTTAGTCATAACCGACTACCGCCGACAATAATCCCCTGGAGATACTAAAGTTCGGGGGTCTGGGGGGAATAATCAAAGATTTTCCCGGCGAAGGTGATGTTATGTTGATGGTGATGATGACGATGATGACGACGACGACGAAGACGACGACGATGATGATGATGATGATGATGATGATGATGATGATGATGATGATGATGATGATGATGATGATGATGATGATGATGATGATGATGATGATGATGCTGATGATGATGATGATGATGATGATGATGATGATGATGATGATGATGATGATGATGATACGTGGGCGCTTGTGTAACCTGACCTTGTAGATCTTGGCGCAAGACTGACTCGAAGGATGTCGAGGCTCGTGGCTACACCTTGCCTGCGCAAGAGAGGTCCTTGGCGTTCCTGGCCAAGAAACCTCTCTTGCGCACGGCTTCAAACCACTCGCCCATGCAGGCTCGGCATCCTTTGGGGCCGTCCTTGCACGGGAGGCACTTGGTGCAGGCCTGGGCGGCAGCGCTTGCCTCCTCGAAAGTGGCGTGCTTCGGCTCGACTGCCGTTGGGTCCTTGAAGGGCTTTGACTTGACCTTGCTATTGGCCTTGGCCTTGGCTTTTGCCCTGGCCAAGTCGTTGTCGTTGTCGCTGGCCTCCTTAAGCTTGTTGATCCACTCGTTGCCTCGGGCGCACATTGTGTTGATGCTCACGGGCGCTTGGCGGCCCTCGCCTCGGATCTCGCGCAGGGCGCGCTCGATCCAGCGACTCGTCCACAGGCCGCAGGACCAGGCGTCGGCCTGGAACATGTCGTTGCCCCTCGCAGGGCAGGTCTCGCCAGGGCCGATGGCGCCGAGCTTGCGGAGGATCCTCGTGGCGGCTTTGGGAGGCCACATGCGAACACAAACCCACGATCTCTGAGGAGGAGGGCGGGGTCCACTTCGTTCGGCGGCTCCCGAGCAAAGTGAACCCTAGTTACCTTCTCCCCTCAGAAATCGCGGGGTGTAGGTGTGAGTTCGCATGTGGCCTTTCAGGCCTGCTTGGCGTTATCGGACGGCTGCTTGAGGGCGTCGCGGTACTCCACCGCGACGCCCCCGCCGATCTTCGAGACCATAACGGGCGTTGCTACAAGTGCCCGCGGCCCAGGGTGCCTCTAGGATTCGCTCCAGAACGGAGCGAACAACTGGAGGCACCTTGGGGTCGGGGCAAATGTAGAGACCGCCGGCCTTGAGGTAGGTGTAGTGCGCGGGCGCCTCGGAGTGCACGCCGGGACGTGCTCGGCCTTGTCGATTCTCTCGGCCCAGCGCTACTGCTCCTCGGGTTGCTAGGCGGCGGGTTCGTCCTCGCCCTGGCCCTCTCGAGTCCGGGCGACGGCCACCGTGGGCTCGACCGCCAGAACGGTCTCGGGGACGCCCGCGCGCTCCGCGATCTCGCCCAGCACCGCGCTCACTGTGCCCAGCTCGAGGGCGTCGCACTTGACGATCTGCTCGCAGTTGTGATCGCGCACTCCTTGGCGAGCTCGGCGCGGCAAGCCAGTCTGGTCTGGCGCCAGTCGAGCTTGTGCGGCTTGGGGAACTTGTAGTCCTGCTCGATCGTGACCTGTGGCGCTCAGGATTCACAGGCACTTGTTAGCTTCCGCCCGCTTCCGTTTCGTGTCGCTTCCGCCGCCAGTTTTCCGCCATATTCCGCCGCTTCCGCCGTTGCTTCCGCCGTTTCCGCTTGCTTCCGCTTGCTTCCGCCGCCTCAGTCGGAAGCAGGCGGAAGCTAACGAGTGCCTGTGAGCCTCCGAGCCTCGCCGCTGTCGATCTGGAAGATCGCCGCGGTCTCCACCTCGTGGACGCGCAGGCGGATCGCATCCGGTGCCCAGGACTCGCCAGACGCCCTGCACTCTGCCGCGCCTGCCCTCGTGGACTCGCTCCTCGGTGGCGCGGGCCACCTTGCCGTGCCGCGGATAGTCCTCGCAAGCCTCGAGGCTCGTTTCCGCCTTGGTCTTCGCTTTCTTCTTGGTGTTCTTCTCCGCGTGCGTCTTGGCCTTGAGCTTCTGGGAGAAGCTCATGTTGGCCTTCGTCGCCCTGCCTGCGAGCTTCGCCGTGGCCGCGCCTCGGCTCAGGTGCTCGAGCGAGGCCTCGCCGCCAGTCTTGGTTTTCGTGCACCGCCACCTGCGCTGCAGCTTGCCCTGGAATTAGCCCGAGAACTTGGGCGCCCACCTGCTCGTGCGAGCTGCTGTTCGTTTCTGCTTGATTCGGCCCTCGAGGGCGCGCGGGAACTGGATCTCCTTGGTCCGCCCTCCTGGCGTTATGAGCACGTCCTTCTGCTCGCCGGTGAGCTCGAGGTCCAGTTCTCGGAGCTCCAGGAAGCAGGGGCTCTCGCCCTGCTCGTAATCCCTGGGCAAGTCGCCCTGATGGAAGCAGCTCCCGTCGGGGACGCTCCACTCGGGCACGGGCGGCGCGCCCTCGGGCCACCTCTGCATGCCCTCCAGGCGCTCGCTCGCCAGGTTCTGTTCGGTGCCGCGGCCGGGCTCGATGGAGTATCTCCGCGGCTCCATGCCCGTGACGGCCTTGAGCTCGCCCTGCTCAGTCGGCCGGGTGGTTCGCTCGCAGCCCTTGGAGCGGCGCCGCGCCCCTGTTCTTCTCGTGGAAGCGGGCGTTGCCCTCGGAGACACTGTGGAGGCACTCGTAGGGCCCCCCCTTTGGGTCAGGGCCTTGCAGTGCTTCTGGCGCTCGGCCTTGGCCTTCTGGATCCAGTCCTGCTCCATGGCCCAATGCATCTCGGCTTTGACCTTTGGGATCATGGACTTGAGCTGGC